CGGCGCCAACACACGACAAATAGCAATATAACGATCACAAGGGGTAGTATAACGCCGGCGTAAATGCCGCCCAGAGTTAGTTTATAGCTGACATCTTTGATGCACTCGGGGTCGACGCCCCACGACCACAGCCCGTCCTCTCGACACCGGCGCACTTCGTAGCCGACGAGACGGTAGCCCTCATCGCAGGAGAACCTGACGATAGTTCCGGGCCAATACCGGTTCTCCGATTTCCTCCCATTCTTGGGCTTCGGCAACGCCGGACATCGGGTCGCTTTGTCCGTCAGATCTCGGCGTATGAGTTCGGCCGCCGCCTCGTCCTTCTTGGTCTGTCCCGCGTAACCGCTGTCTCCCGTCACCACATAGTCGTAGACACACGCCTGGCAAACGGGTTCAACGCAACCATTATGATAAAGTGCTCGTCAATTTATCGATGTAACCATACGTACCGTACTATCACTGCACACTTTATCCACATCGGGGTGCTTTTCCAGGTCCTGTGCGGTGATGTCCCAAAGCGGTTCAAATTTGATATCATCGTAGTTGGAGTGGTCGACAGGATTGTGCCAAAACAACGATTGCCCTAAATTAGGAGTATTGGTCTCTTTGAGTCGGTACTGATTGGCGAAGTTGTCGTGCAGATCACGTGTGGTGAGGGACGGCCCCGCGCGGGGACCCGACCGACCGTCCGGTAGCTCCAGATCATCGTTCATGTCTCGCGACCATTTACCTAATTGTCACATATATTTACATTTCAATTAATACTGGTATATTTCTTATAAATAAATTTTATAATATGATTTAGACAACATAACAAGTTATTGTTTAGGCAAAATATACTATGTTTGAGCCCATCATATTACATGCTATATTGGGGATCTCAGACCTAATTATGTAAATTAAGTTATAAATAGTATATGCATTGTTTTATAGTCACCACATTAATCCCATTATAGATATTATGGAATTTATGTTACGCTTGTATTATAGAAATACTCTGTACTTAAATTATTAACAACTGATACATAAAAACAAACACTATTATAGAGATTATAGGATTATGTAGGGATGGTGATTGGTAAAATTCTAATGTTGACATAATTGCCAAGTGTATTCAAAACAAATCACTGATAATGATTAAAGTCTGAAGTGAAAGTTCATGAAAGTGATCTACAGCGATGATTGGTACTAATGGGGTGATTGAAAAATTTCACCACCTAAACACAACTTTATACGATAAGCCTACAATAGATTTACGTAAAAAATCATATGACAGTCAACTTTACCTAATAAACCACGTGTATTATTGATGAAAGTGTTGGGCAGATACACGTTGAGCAGTATGGAGCCGACGGGACTGACACTAATCTCGACGCCGGCGCCTGAATCAAACATAGCTATAATCTGAGACATATTACGTATGCCCGCGGGCTGGTACAGCATCACACCCTTCATCTGTATGGAGCGCATGTCCGGCTGCCAGAAGTAGTACATCTCCTTATCGCCAAACAGGTAGAGCTGGAACTGCCAGCGGGCGGCCACCGGCCGGAGACGCAACTCCACGATCGACGAGATATTGTCCCGAATCGCCACAGCTGTCAAGTGTGTGCCGTTCAGGTTAGGCATCTGCTCGAACCGTCCGTGAATGTCCAACTTATGCACCGCGTTGTCCGTATGCACCAACACAAACTCGCCCTTTCCATTGAACGTGTAGTTGTACCGGTCGAATGTGATTATATGAGGGTCACCATACACTGTAGCTATTTTTTAATCAAAATAATTTAATAAATTAATTTCTATACAACAATCATCTTTGAATAATCTACATTTGTATGTTGCACTAGTGGGAATTAATTTTATTAAGTAATAAAAATTATTTTGCAATGCAATGCTCTAAAATTTAAATTTAATGAGTTAGCATTTCTAGACAAACATCACGTAAGCAATGCATTAGCATTATTGGTAGGATTTTCCTGGTATTCTGTAATCATCTCTCATATCAGACAATGTGTGTATCGTTAATATGGGGTAAACTAACAAATGCTTCATTTATTACTTTTGGAAGCATATATTATGAAACCCCTGATAAATGAACAGGGCACCTTATTTGGTTCAACTAAGATTACAAATGCTATGAAATGCCTTTCACTCGATTAGCAACGATTACATACCGACGCCGGGTGTCTGATATGAAGAGCAATCCTGAGATGTGCGCCAATAGTTAAACATTTGACATGTTTTGCTGTTTTCTTCTCCGGGCGCCCATTTGCAGCAATAGAAGAACGGCATTATGTCGTACAACCAATAGGACATTGTGGGCACCTGTAGTCAAAGGGGTGTGTATGTTTGTTAGACATGCATATTTTATTTTGGGCAATAAATTTCGCATAAAATTTGAACCATGCATTTAACTTATCATTTTATATGCATGTTATAAAAGATTGCAAATTATAAAATTTGTAGTTCATATATCACTAACCATTAAACGTTGTTTAAATGGATGTTTCCCGTAGACAAACGCCCGGGAGGGGCGGCCCCCATACATGGTGTCGGCGGTTTGTACCAGTTCACCATAGTCATCGTAACAACATGTCTGCCCCGAACCACCAATACTACAATTGCACACAAATTTATTAATTTAAATATTTTTTATAAAGTCATTGTCGATAATACTAACGATGGTCGGGCGGTTCGGACACAGTGTAGAGCCCCGTGATGTAGAGTATCACACTTTTTATCGATCACATTGCACTGTAAGTCTGGTGCGAAACGACCACGATCGCGCTCAGACTGAGTTAAGGTGCATGGGCAACGGAACACCGTTACGGCAAACCTATCCAATTGGGACTCCCTGTCAAACCAATCCCTGCAAAACCGGTCGTTCCACTGATTGCCGTACTCTTTGATCCAATACGGCCTCATATACCACCCTATATTAGTATTACACTTATCATTATTATTAATCTCTCTCTCTCTCTCTCTCTCTCTCTCTCTCTCTCTCTCTCTCGCTCTCGCTCTCAACCGATATAATGGAAACTCATTCAAACCTAAAGGCATGGGCTTAGACCACAACGTTTGACTCCATACATCGCCCGTAACGTTAACCCCAATGAAACCATATGTATACTCGTAATTATTGAGCTCCGGCAACTTGGGCAGACTGTTTAGATCAAGTTCAAATTTGCCATTATTTGTCTGGCCCTGTGTTAACTCAATGAGGAATGTGAGGTGAGGGTAGACATCGGTTTTCTCGCTATAGCCCCAGAGGGATATGGAGACCCGGGCGCTGTCATCCCACGTCAAGTCATCGCTTTGCCACTCTATGGTTAAAAGGTGTGGGTCTTCGGGCCGGCGCTCGACCGGCAGATTCTCCACCACTTCCTGTTCTTTTACCCAAACGTCAAATTCTTTGCGACTTTCGGGCGATTCTGTGCTCAAAGTATGAGTTATTTACTTAGGATTGTAAGCAAATTAATTGCTTTGTAAAAATTAATTGTCATTTTGGATAAATAGAGTGCCTATTTGTATTTCTTATTTACTTTTCCTATAATAATAAGTACTGCATTTTTCAAAACTTAATACGTGCATGTGATTGTTCCATGTTATTTTATTTCATCTAGAATTTAATCTCTATTTGTTTTAAATATTCTATACTTCTCTACTGTATTGTGTATTATAGAAAGGTTTATAGGTATAATAATCTTTTGAACTGTGCATGAGCAAACTAACGGTATAACAAACAATATATTTAATTTAAAAATTAATGTTATACTTACGGACATACATTCTTGAGTACCAAAACGTTTTATCGTCAACAGTTACAGTAAAATCCACATAACCTATAGTTTTATTATAATATTAAATATAAATTATAATATTAAAGGTTGTTATCTAAAAATACTATTATAAATGAATAAAACAATTATATAATTAACAGAAATAATAAAATAAGTAGTTTAAAATCATTTAACATGCTATTAATAATAGCCTATTACCATTTGAGTGCACTAATAACTTGCAATTCATATAATAAATTATAAAGTTGGTTCATAAAATTTTTTAAAAATAATAATACTAGAGACACAATAAATAAATGATTGCAAAAATAATAAATATAATACAAACCCTCATACATGACGGCGGGTGTAATACAGGCGCCAATATTGTTGGTCAACATACGGCCCTTCACTTTCAACACATCAAACCGACAGATTATGTTCGAGTCCTCTGTCAGACACGGACCGGTAAAGTTGAGCTCTTGACCGCCTAACATGATTATATAATCGGTCGACGTGTGCAACGGCTACCCGTCCCCATACAGGCACACAAAATAAAATATATAAATATACTCAACAATAAAATAAGTGACAGTATGACTGACCATTCTATCGGGCAAATTAGGATCAAGCTCCTTATTAACGCAAGCACCTGGTTCAAGCTCTTCGTCTATGGTGAAATAAAATCTACCCTCAATACCATTACCCCAACCCATTTTGGGCAGTAGTATAACCCGAGGGTTTTGCGAAAAAGGAGAATACTCGTATGCCTGGGTAGAATTTCCACCGTTAAAACCAATCTAGTTAAATTATGATGTTAAAAATTATTATTATAACTAATTATAGATACAATAAATGACATTTAAAAATAGCTAATTTATAGTCAAAATACACTTACAAAGGCTTGCGGTCCGTTAAGGCCGGCATAGTTATCAAGATGTGTGACCCATGAGATCTGCTCGTAATTAAACATCACAAATGTCTGCATCTCATCCGTTGCTAAAATCATTTGATATGTATTTGTCTACAAAACACACATAAATAGTTAATATTAATTATTATCATAATCCTCATAGTTGTTAGTAAACCAAAATAACGTAAACATAAATGTACACAAGAGTTACAGTCACATAAACTTTGCCGTATATTTTACAGTTTTTATATTAAAAAAAATCTTGCGGTACAATATATACACACAATAATGTTGTTAGAGTTATGAAAAGTATATTATTGTAGAATAGATAATTTTAAATACTAATTACATTAGTGTAATTACACCATGCTCATACCTTGAGGTCGCGTTCCCTGCGTCGATTGGCAAATGTCATATTCTTCCATGTTACAATAAATGCAAACTTGGGCTCCCAACCAATGGAGGCGGCCATAGCTGTGCTAAAGTCGTCGAGTAGACGTTGTTTAAGAGTCAAATTGGCCTCTTTGTCCACTTCGATCAGCCGGAAGTACACACCCGAGCCCTCCACGTCAGACGGTATGTCCTGGTGGGCGAAAAAGGCCGCTATTATGGACGGGTCCTCCTCTACATTGGTGTCATCGGGAACCATTGGGAACGATAGGGGAAACGCGTAACTCTTTAAGCCCTTATTGAACGTCACGTAACCGTCTTTATGCACCTGAAGTTTGTGTTTCAATAATTCCCAGTTTTATAAAACGTTATACAAGTTAATTGTTCCCTAAATTAATAAGGTATTTTGATTTTGTTACCCAAACGTAGTTAAAGGCGAATCCGGAAAATGGTAACCGGAAGGGCAGGGGCTGGTCGTGCATCTGTTTCATCGAGTTAATCGATGTTAAATAATCTTCTTGTTCGTAGGGATACATGAGTTGTTTGGCCCAATTAGGGTCGACCACAACAGTGGGCGCTTTGCCCTCATTTCTAAAGTAGGTGTGTTGTGGCCGAAGCGGATCGCCCGGCGGGAGGGCGTCATGTGATCCATACGAGCCATGCGAGCCGTCGTGCGCCCCAAAAACAGCCCCTTCTCTGTGCCGGTTGTGATGGGGTTTATGTCGGGGTGCGTTCGTATTCACTATAACATACAACACTTATTTTAAACTGTATTCAACTGTATAAACATCAAGCCTATAACTGATATTGTTAGATATAACGTCTGTTATAAAATAAGTTGAATGATTAACTATAATTATACTGTATTACAATATTTTCATAATTATAACAAAAAATATCAAAAGATTTTAGGTATAATTTCAAGATTTAATTACTGTATAAATAAATTACCATGCACACACAGCAAGAATGCAAGCATACGAAGTGTTTTTAGTATTAACTATTTAAAAAAATTTAATAATAGGTTTTAAAAATTTAACAAACCTTTAGTGATAACTATGCAAAATATAATGAACACAATTATTTGACAGTTTAACAACATTATTTAATTATTTGTTATGATTATAATATGGTAAAATAAATTAATGGTTGAGGTCTGGGGAGAGAGAGAGAGAGAGATGATAATGATAAGTGTAATACTAATATAGGGTGGTATATGAGACCGTATTGGATCAAAGAGTACGGCAATCAGTGGAACGACCGGTTTTGCAGGGATTGGTTTGATAGGGAGTCGCAATTGGACAGGTTTGCCGTAACGGTGTTCCGTTGCCCATGCACCTTAACCCAGTCTGAGCGCGACCGTGGTCGTTTTGCACCAGACTTACAGTGCAATGTGATCGATAAAAAGTGTGATACACTACATCACGGGGCTCTACACTGTGTCCGAACCGCCCGACCCTCGTTAGTATTATCGACGATCACTTTATATAAAATATTTAAGTTAATAAATTGGTGTGCAATTGTAGTATTGGTGGTTCGGGGCAGACATGTTGTTACGACGACTATGGTGAACTGGTACAGACCGCCGACACTATGTATGGGGGCCGCCCCTCCCGGGCGTTTGTCTACGGGAAACATCCATTCAAACAACGTTTAATGGTTAGTGATATATGAACTACAAATTTTATAATTTGCAATCTTTTTATTACATGCATATAAAATGATAAGTTAAATGCATGGTTCAAATTTTATGCGAAATTTATTGCCCAAAATTAAATATGCCTAACACACATACACACCCCTTTGACTACAGGTGCCCACAATGTCCTATTGGTTGTACGACATAATGCCGTTCTTCTATTGCTGCAAATGGGCGCCCGGAGACGAAAACAGCAAAACATGTCAAATGTTTAACTACTGGCGCACATCACAGGATTGCTCCTCATATCAGACACCCGGCGTCGGTATGTAATTGTTCTCAATTGAGTGAAAGGCATTTCACATCATTTGTAATCTTAGTTGAACCAAAAAAGGTGCCCTGTTCATTTATCAGAGGTTTAATAATATATGCTTCCAAACGTAATAAATGAAGCATTTGTTGGTTTACCCCATATTAATGATAACATTGTCTGATATGAGAGATGATTGCAGAAAACCAGGAAAATCCTACTAAACATGCTAATGAATTGCTTACGTGATGTTTGTCTAGAAATGCTAACTCATTAAATTTAAATTTTAAAGCATGCATTGCAAAATAATTTATTATTACTTAACAAAAAAAATTCCCACTAGTACAACATACAAATGTAGATGATCCAAACATGATTGTTGTGTTTTATTGATTAAACTCTAGCTACAGTGTATGGTGACCCTCATATAATCACGTTCGACCGGTACAACTACACGTTCAATGGAAAGGGCGAGTTTGTGTTGGTGCATACGGACAACGCGGTGCATAAGTTGGACATTCACGGCCGGTTCGAGCAGATGCCTAACCTGAACGGCACACACCTGACAGCTGTGGCCATTCGGGACAATATATCGTCAATCGTGGAGCTGCGGCTCCGGCCGGTGGCCGCCCGCTGGCAGTTCCAGCTCTACCTGTTTGGCGATAAGGAGATGTACTACTTCTGGCAGCCGGACATGCGCTCCATACAGATGAAGGGTGTGATGCTGTACCAGCCCGCGGGCATACGTAATATGTCCCAGATCATAGCTATGTTTGATTCCGGCGCCGGCGTCGAGATCAGTGTTAGTCCCGTCGGCTCCATCCTGCTCAACGTGTATCTGCCCAACACTTTCATCAATAATACACGTGGTTTATTAGGTACAGTTGACTGTCACTTATGATCATATAATTTTTTACGTAAATCTATCGTAGGTTTTACGTACACATAGTTGTGATTATTTACTGTTATTTATTTATTGTCATCAATTGTGAAATTTTTGAATCACACCATTAGTACTAATCATTAATAGTACTGCGAATCACTTTTATGAACTTTCACATCAGACTTTAATTATTATCAGTGATTTGGTTTGAATACACAATTATGTCAACATTAGAATTTTACCAATCACCATCCCCACATAATCTTATAATCTCTATTGTTTGTTTTTGTATCAGTTGTTAATAATTTAAGTATACTTTAGAGCTAGTAAGGGTAAAATTTACACTGAGTGTAAATTTCAATGGAAAAAATGACTGGTTTCAATGCATTTTTTTATTGTTACCCATACTAGCTTTAGAGTATTTCTATAAAACAAGAGTAACATAAATTCCATAATATCTATAATAGGATTAATGTGGTGACAATAAAACTACACTTTCTATTTATAACTTAATTTACCTAATTGGTTTATCTCCAACATAGAGTACTAGCAAATCATGTAATATGATGGGCTCAGACATAGTTTCTTTTACCTAAACAATAATTAAAAATTATATTATAATAATTTATTAGGAATATAGCAGTATTAATTGAAATTAAAATCTATCTGACAAATGGTGTGGTACAATAGGTAAATGGTCGCGAGACATAAATGATGATCTGGAGCTACCGGATGGTCGGTCGGGTCCCCGCGCGGGGCCGTCCCTCACCACACGTGATCTGCACGACAACTTCGCCAATCAGTACCGACTCAAAGAGACCAATACTCCTAATTTAGGGCAATCATTGTTTTGGCACAATCCTGTCGACCACTCCAACTACGATGATATTAAATTTGAACCGCTTTGGGACGTCACCGCACAGGACCTGGAAAAGCACCCCGATGTGGATAAAGTGTGCAGTGATAGTACGGTACGTATGGTTACATCGATCAATTGACGAGCACTTGATCATAATGGTTGCGTTGAACCCGTTTGCCAGGCGTGTGTCTACGACTATGTGGTGACGGGAGACAGCGGTTACGCGGGACAGACCAAGAAGGACGAGGCGGCGGCCGAACTCATACGCCGAGATCT